TATATTTAAGGATAACCAAAAAACAATAATGGCGCAAAGATATCTTTTTACGGCGCATTTCAGCGCATACCTGAGAGTACAATTTCGTATGAAAAAATGTTAAAAAAAAGTAACTTTTAAAAACGTTAAGTTGGCCCCCCACTTTTTAAAAATTTGTCACGGCTTAACTGTAATGGCGCTAGCTTTAATTCAAGTGGCGTAACTGAGCGCATAACCAAATGTATCAGGTGACCTAGTTACAAGGAACAAAATACGTACTGGGGAGGGGCTACGTTCACTTGCCCCCCCCCCCTAAATGTTTTTTCGGATTTCTAAAAAACGATAATGGCGCAAGTGTTATTATCGGGGGCGCATAACGAGCGCATTCATTTCAAAATATCAAACTATCAAATCTTTCAGTGGGGGGGGGGGGGGGGCAAGTTAACGGACCCCAAACAGAATCAATCTAGTTACGTTTGTTTCTGAGACTTGTAGATCTAGGACGATTTTCTAGGATGACTTCTAGGATGGTCGTCTTATTCCTATAGCAGATTTAGAAGATTTCAAATTTTCTAGTTCAAATTTCTATTAAGAAGTTCTTAGACAGGTAGACTTCGAGACCAGACTTCCAAAAAGGTTTTTCGGAATAAATTTTTAATACTTCAAACAAGCTGCAGGTTTTATAAAAGATTTTGAAATTAATTATCTTCATGAAGTTTTTAATATGCGGGGTGGAAGATGATATCTGACAAATGACGTCCTTAATAAGCAACACATCCTTCGAGACGCTCGGAAAATTTGCGTTCTGTACAATTGTGAAGGGGAAGGGATCGAGCAGTGAGGAACGCTCAAGTATTCTTCTTCCTTCATCTTGTTGCTCCTGGTATGGGAAGTTTAGTTTCCGTGATGGTTTGCTCGATCCCCTCCCCTCCAAAATTGCACAGAACGCCGAGCGTCTCGAAGAATGTGTTGCTTATCAAGGACGTCATTTGTCAGATATCATCTTCTATCCTTGAAAATAAATTTAAATAAATCAGAAAACCTCCAAACTTGTAACCACGGTGTTAAAGACTCACTAAAAGCTTCTAGATATTCTAAGGGAATTAAGAAATAAAATTTTGGAGAAAACCTGTAGGATGGCTTCAGAGGAATTTTTAAGAAACATTCTTCCTAAGATGATTTCTAAGAATATCTTTTCTTAAAAATGTTTTTTCTAAGATCTCTCAAAGAACTTCGCAGATGGCTTGTTTCTATGACGATTCGTAATGATTTATAAACGGAAGTGTTTAAGAAGTGTCTAAAGTAGAATTTTCCTCCGACACTCTGTTCTGCAGATATTTGTACTGAAAGCTTTCACATTCCCCTTGCCTTTTACAAGTACCCTCTTCCAACACTTCGTTGTCATGGTATTTGCTTTGACTTCACTAATAGATACGTCTTATTCAGTCGATTCATTTTGCATTTGAGAGTACTTTCCTCCGACAAATCGTTTTCGAGATATTCGCTATTAAAGTTTTGAGATCACCAATGTATATATTTTTTCCAGGTGTCCCAATCGTCCTGTTTCGACAATCCGTTCCGGAGATATAAATTAATTCTTTTCGTTCCACTCCCCCACCCCTCCCTCAACACCTTCTATTGATAATGGGTTAGAAAAAAGGGCGGTAGTTGGTAGAAAACGGTTCATTTCGATGACACATTTAATTAGAATACCATGAAAGATAAAATATAGTTTCTAAGGAATATATATACAGGGTGGCAATTTGAAAAATTTACCACCCCCCATGTCTTAGTAAATAAACGAGATATTTTAAAAAATCAAAATCAGTTTCGGTAATTCGGAGAGGGAAACACAATGACATAGTTGACGACGCACCCTCTCCAACCCCCTCCGCCCCAGCCAAATCTTAAATAGTAACCCCCCATGTGTGATACGTCGTTGGAAAGCTATGAAAAAATGCTTTCCAAGCATACCAAATAGCATTACATTTAGGTTAGTAATTATCGTGCAAATGTCGTTGCTTGATCTTTTATTTATCACTATCTGTATTGCTAACTAGAAGATAGTAGTACAGAAAGCGGATAAAGGTATAAAAAGACACATTCCTTCACCCATAGCAGACATAAAAAAATACACAAAATAAATATGAATAGCATTTTTTCTTCTTAATTTAACCCATAAGGCAATAAAGAAAACCATTTTGAACATTTTTATTGAAATAAAAGCCAACTTTAGAAAATGTACCATATTAGTTTATTTTTTGATTTGCACGATAATTAATAACCTAAATGTAATGCTATTTGGTATGGTTGGAAAGCATTTTTTCAGAGCTTTCCAATTAAATATTAATAAATTAATTAAAAGTTGGGGTGGCTGTGGCGCAGGGGGTTGGAGGAGGTGCGTCGCCAACTATGTCGTTGTGATTCCCCCTCTGAATTACCGGAAAGGATTTTGATTTTTTAAAATATTTCGTTTATTTACTAAGACATGGGGAGGTGGTAAGTTATCAAATTGCCACCCTGTATATAAATACATAAATTATAAAATGCAATATTACAATTTGCAAATAATATTTAATATAAATATACCAAGTGATAGATCAAAATTTAGGAAATTTTACGCTATTTTCAAAAACCCTAAAATATATAGGGTGGTCCATATGAAAAAATATAGTTTAGGGTCGTATAAGGAAAACCAAACACTGTGTATCGCAATGGTCTCGACATAAAAAAGTGCTCTAATTTTGACAAATGACCTATCTTTGATAATATAAGAATGTTATGGGGCATTAAGGAAATCGACTCAATTCGAGAAACACTTTCTAGCGGCCAAACGATTAGTGATAGCTGAATTCTGGTTCCAATTCCAATTTGGATCACCCCGTACATTGGGCATAAGGGATGTAAAACTGTCAAACACTTTTTTTAATATGTGAGTTTTTACCGCCGTTACGTCATAGAACTGCTTTTTTTTCAAATAGTAACCCACATTTTTTTTATTAACGAGTGAAGTTTTCGAGTGGTTCAAATACGAGTATTAACTGAGTGCAACCTTGCTTGACTGTAGACAATAAATGAATTATTGAGAATAAACACTAGCAAAAGTATAAAAAGCGCGTGAAGTCGTAACACAACAACCTGGAGCCCGAGCTATTTACTAGAAAACCCCCCAAATCGATTATTGCGAACTAATTAGAATTATTAATGGAATAATGTGTAAACTTTGTTTTTAGTCCGAGTATAACAATGGAATTCGGAACAAAGGAAAATAAATAGCGGGTTGTATCGTTACCACCTTTACGGTGTAGTTTTGAAGCAAGTATTTTTGCTTAGAATACTTTCAGGAGATGATTTTATTGGGATCTATCTGCATGTAATCGAGAACCTTGCGAACATTTCTTTTGTGAGCTGCGACTACCAGTTCCTTATTCTTATATTTCATTCAATGTTACTTAGTTAATTCACGTAACTCCGATGTACAAATTTGATTGTAATATAAGCGAATATTCCAGAAATTCCGATAGAGATCGAGGCGCCACGAAAGATTTAGTCATCGGCGATAAAGACCGAAGGCGGGTGTGACGCAATATTTCCGGGAAATATGACGTGTTTCGACTCTGGACTCCTTGAGAACACTCGAGTTTACTATCGAATTGCGCTTTAGCATAGTTCCAATTTCGACGCCGAAGTAATAAATAGTTATAAATTGTGCATTCGTGAGTGATAAATAATATTTTATCATTCAAGACTCTTATAAATCTTTAATATAACAGTTAAATTTATCTTATATACAGGGTTGTTGTTAAAGATTTAACAGATGGGTTTTGAGTGTAATCGCCAATCGAAGCGTTCAAATTTTCAGGTCTATATCTCAAACGGTTTGAACGCGAGAGCTTTCGTTCCACTTTAATAGCGTCCCTGTATACAGGGTGTTTCCTAAATATTATGTAAATACGGAAGGTGCCAATTCTTTGACGTAATTTATGAAGATTTTTCGTTTTTTCTTTATATATCTTGCGGTTTTTGAGACTGGTAGCGAGAATCTACAGGGTGTTGTTTTTTTCAGGGGTCATATTTTATAACTGAAATGAAATGCAATGAAAGTATAATTTTTAAATTGGTCCAGTACGTGCTGGATTTATTTGGATAATGTCTTATTCTTATTGATTTTGGCAGTTGGTATTGAAAATGGTATCTTGGCTGTGCGTATGTTTATAAATTAAAGGTTTAAATTGTAAAGCGTATAGGGAAACACCCTGTAGATCGGTAGCAAAATGTTTGCGGACCTGTATTTATATGAACTTTAGGTCACAAAATACCCCAAATACCTTTATATTATTATTTTAATAATATCCATCAAAATCTGAGTGAGAAGTAAGAAATATTCTTGTAAGTACCTACCGAAAATCGAAATAGTTTTCCCTAATAAAATTGAAAAACTTCTGTGAAAATGTTGTTAAAAATCGTTTTAGGAAGAATGTGTTCGAAGACATTCTCAGCTTTCCTCACCAAAGTTTCTTAAAGACTGATTAGGGTTCTTTCAAAAGTCCACTTTTTTACAGGAAATCGCTGTTTATAAAACCTTACGAATTTTCCTAAAAACCTTCATCAAATTTCAAAACTATCGTAACAATCTTACATGCTTAAATTTTTACTTTTTCTCGTAGTAAAAAATGACCTAATGCCACATTAGAATTTTGGAAATCTTCTGTTTGAACAGGGGCGAACTAAAAGACATCTTCAATTGATCATGGTCTCGCAAAAATTTCTGCCGTATTAGATCTAGGTAAGATCTTTAATATATCAGTTAAATTTATCTAATAAAAGTATAATACATACACGTTTCTAGGGAAACTAGCTGCCACATAAATTTAACAATAAGTGAAAGATCGGCCCCTAACTGGAAAAGTTAATTAGGATCAGTTTCAGCAAGATATCTTCATGCAGAAATTGTAAGTGAGCCGGAAATTAATAGTAAAAATGACCGATTGCTAATATAAAAGATGGTGTGGAATACGTACCGCTACTCTACTTTCTTTAAGGTCTAAACGCATGGCGAGCGCCTCCCTCATGAAAACATCGGGATAATGACTAGCCAAGAACGCCCTTTCTAATTCTTCTAGTTGCCAACTATTAAAATTCGTTCTACTCCTTCTCCTCTTCGACGCCGCGTTTTCCGAATCCGCGCCTTCGCCACTGCTACTCGCCCCACCTGCAAATTACACAAAATTGAAACATCGAGAGCAAATGTTAGAACGTGACCGTTTTAATTACGGCCACACTTCGGACATTTCGACGCGCGAGGCTGACATTTTGGTGCGCTTAAATTCAGAGAGAGAGCGCGGGTCAAAAATCAATAAAACCGACCATTTCGGTTTCATTATGCGACTCGCTTCTCAGAAAATCCATCTCGGCATTATTTATGAAAATTGAAGTGTTTTAAACTTCTGCATATTACTACCGAGGGCTCTACCTACATTCAATTTATGTACCGAAAAAAAAAACAAGAAATTTATTTCCCAATAAAATACGTAATAGATTATTAAACTGGTCGCATAATTTAGTGGCCACTTAAATGCATGAACGCTAACAATTAAACTTTGACGTTAGCATTATGCGCATAGTAGCATATTATTGTTGTATATTGCATTTGAACAACGGAAATGGCGGTGGTTTGTTAGGAAAGTCGATAAATCAATTGGCAGTTGAAACAAGTACCCACGTAGTGTCTGTTCGGTTAATTAATTGTTGCTGTTTAACGTGTAGGCAGGTTATTCACGCATTTGCATTGTTTAGAAGGGGGGTTAGTGTTGTATATCTGTTTCATTTTACTAATTTGCTTAAACAAAATTATTCACACTCGTTTTTGATTTCCATGTTTAAATCACACTGAAATTTCATATGAAAACTACCTACTTGTTTTAATTTCTCAATTAAAGTGATTTCTAACACCCTGTAGTTGAATAGATATAATCATGAATATGAACAAGAATAAGAAACTTTGTCAGCAAGTTAAATAATTTAGAAATCTCTAGTTTACAAAAATGACAAATCATTGAACACCTCATTTTCAACACCCTGTATGGCAGACGTTTTTTTGGAGATAATTTATAGAAGCTATGTGATGGTTTCACTAACTGAACTATACTAGCAGTAGAACAAGTAATGAGAGTGGGAATACTAGGGAGCACCTCTAAGTCTAAGGTGTTAATTAAATTATTAAATTAAAAAATATCTTATGCACAACTGACGATTAAATTTAATTAATGGTTTAATAATACGGCCAGTTGATTTTAAGTGTTTCCTACGGAATATTTGAGATATGTGTTAAATATAGAAGCTAGGTACATATTTAAAAATTACCATCATCTATACGAGAGTACCTTTAAATTAAGCTCGAAATTAAGTCCATAAGTAAAGATACTCTCATATTTAACACAAAGTCCATTTTTGGAGGATTAACATAATAGACGAAGAAGTCAGTTAGTTAGTAAATTTAATAACGAGCCTTTTTTCCAACTTAAATAATTAATAAACAATTTTTAACATTTTTGTGTAGTATAGGCGTTTCCAAAATGTCAAAATAGTTTATTGATGGTTCCTGTAAATGGCATCCTAATAAAAATTCCCATGGAGAAGTGTTTTTAGTTTTTTTATATCTTTGCAAATAGTCAGAAGAATATAAAAACGAATATGGTTAATTTCGGTTTTTTTTTTTCGAATATCTTCGGAACTGATCGGAATTTTCAAAACATTATTTTACTAAACCTTAAAATATACAATTTTTTTTGTAATTTAACCGACTGTGTATCCCTTACGGTTTCCAATTTCCCCATGCTGTTCATTCTTATCTTGGACAAATTGCATGATATATAAACCATGTCCTACGTCAATATAATAAACGTATATAACACTGCGTTGATTTGCTCTGCTGGCGGCTTATTAAATGATTTTCCAAACTAAAAATAAAAATTATGCTTTTCTACGTACCAAAATTGGACATTGTTTATGCCACATCTAATGAAATTAGCGAGGAAATTAGTATAAGACGCGTTGAAAATAATTGAGTTCAAACATTAGGCATTACGTGTGTCCTATACTCATAAGGCTGGTAAAAAGGACGTTGAGAATGTCTAGACAAATAAACGTTAATTTTATAAACGTACGTAGCACCATACTTTCCTGTCTAACATGGGTAAAGAAAATGTGATTTTCCTTTCTAGTGAGGAAAGTAAAAAACAATTGCTGCTCTGATCTTAATATTGACATTTGAAATTGATTACATATCGTATCTAGACTGCTATGTGTCAAACTTCATTATTGCGTACGATAATTTTTCAATTTTGATTGTTATAGTTTCAGAAAAAATTATGAGTAAAATTTGAGAAGAAAGTGGAGTTTTTCCACTCGAGTTCAAAGTTTGACACATGGGCATAGCTTTCCTTGATTTGTTTGAAATTCGATTGTCACAAAATCATGGCCGACTACAAAAAATGAAAATCCGAAAAAAATGTTATCAATTCAATGAAATTGGAATAACACATCATAAACTGTTAAAGATATAGCTATAGGAACACGTAATATCAAAATTTGCCAATTTTGATTCTCTATCAAATGCAATAGTAAGGAAATGGTCATTTCATTTAAAAAACTGAGTTTTTAGTCTTTGAAATTTCTTAAATTTGAATCTCCATAGGTGAGGTCGTATACGCAACTTAACTTTTTTTAAGTACACTAAAAGAGAGCCCTATTCTTTCTCTATGCACTGGCAAAAATGGATTCCCATAACTACAACCGTTTTCAAGTACCTAATCAATTTTTAAGCCAACGTCTGCGCCCGGCATTTTTTTCCTTATAGTCATAGTAAGTGAAAAACCCCTGGAAAAACCATAAATTGTAGATATCGACATGTGGGTATCAAAAGCACTGAAATTTCACGTAAAATTCAAAAATGCAATAAATAATAGGGGTTGCAATGTAAAATAATGAACTTACTAGCTACTACCGGCATTTCCGTAAGTGCTACAATTTTGAAAATATTTTACATCGATTGGGCCTTCAGAGTAACTCCTAAGTACAAATTTTTTAAAATCTACCTATTTCAATTTCCCAGAAACGTTTAACTAAAGCTCCCAAAAGCGCACCCTGTATTTATAGCTTTATATATATATATCATTTCCAAGAAACACAAGAACCAATTTCGACCTAACTCTAAGGGTTGGTTGTGTAACTAACAAATATCTCAGTCAAGTTCGTGAATCTGTCAATCTGTCAATTCCTCCGAACCGAAAGGGATTTTTTTATTAATTTCTGAGGGTTTGTTCACTTGAAGGTATCTAACGTGCAATAAATTAGCCCGCCAAGCGTATGGCGAGGTTTTTTAATCTTTTCTGCATTATTTTCTAATTGCATATTACACAATTTATAACAGCGCGAACTGTTTATTACTTCGGCGTTAAAATTGGAACTGTCATTAAACGCAATTCGAGTGTTCTCGAACATTCTAGAATAAAACACATCAAGAATGCGTATCATCCGCAGATGACTAATCTTTCGTGGCGCCTCGATGTCTATAGAGAAATTCTGGAATATTCGTTACATTATAGATAGACAATATGTTGAACTCGTCGATTGTTTCTAAAGATTTTAGTAGTCAAGTGGCTGTATTGAAACGAATATTCTACAAATGCAGATAGACATGAAGGCGCCATAAAGGGTTAGTCACCGGCGACAAGAAACGCAGGCGTATGTGACCCATTCTTTCCGGGAAATAAACTATGTTTTGTTCGAGAATATTCGCTTAACCCCACAAAATTGAGTCTTTCCCACTATTTTTAACACTAAACACTAAAGTATATATTAGAGGAGGAAATAAAAATGGAGAAGATAAGAATAGAGTCGTGACGCAGGACAGTAAGATTCGAGGAAAGGGAGAAAGAAAAAATGAATTGGTGAAACAATGTCTATCCACAAGGTTTTTGAATTTTCATTTATACACAACCTTCTTTTTAAAGTGGCATTCTAACAATAGTAAGTGAGTATCCAGTCCTACATTAACACAAAGCTTTCCGTTTCGGATTTGCAATTTAACATTTATTTTGTTTTTCTGAAAATTAAGTATTTCATCTCAATTATAGACATCGTTATTTTTGTATAGAACCTGTAATTTTGCACCATTGAGGTGTATTTATGTATAGGATTTGTTCGTAAGACGTAAAGAATGATACATTTTATAAATGGACCAATACTAAGCAATACAGGGTGTAGCAACTAAGACTTCCTCGGATAATGGACCATTTACCATAAAATATATCGGAAAAAATTGTGCACAATTACCGTCACCACGTTTCTACAATATTTATAGTCATCAGTGGCGTATGACACTTACAACTTTTTAACTGGAACATCCCCTATATTTTGTTAAATAATTTTAGCTGTCTATGTAACATATTATTTTGAAAGTTTTGAATTGGGGCTCATACTAGTTGACTTCTTCCAGCGGATTTACACCAGCAGGCTGAATAGGCTTAGGCGACAGATTTTCGGGGGCGGCAAATTTACCCAAAAATTTTTGTCGTACAGAATTTTAAAAAAACTTTATAGACAGGTGAGCTTTTTTTTTATTTTTCACTATGGGATCTCGAACAGGTTAAGTTCAATGTTTTGTATTAAGCTTCTAAGAATAGCGAAGTTATAGCCAAAAGCCGAAAAATGTCGATTTTGAGATCTCTATTTTCAAGTTATCAAAAAATATTTTACTGAACCATAGACATTTTTTATCATCTTTCGGATGATACTAAAGTAAAATTTTTATTGGATTTTTAATCGATAGAGAAAAAAATTATTACAGAATCGGCGATACCAAATACATATTGGAAAATCACTCTTGAATTTTTTCATTGAAGTTTAAAGACTCAATTTCCTCGAATTTATTAATTTATTTTTATTTAATTCTAACAGCAATAATCCATATTACAGGAATTATCAAAGTTAAAAATACACATAATATAAAGTGTATACGAATGAAATACTTGCCTATTTTGATATCTCGCGATGTGTACCTTTTCCTGTATGGAATGACGTAAAATTTCCATTATGGCGTCCATTACCATACGAAAAGGAAGTTGATGTGTTTACTCGAAACCCCAAAGTTTATAAACTTTATGTTTCAGCACCATCAGAAAGTGGACAAAAAGCACTACGGGTTGTTGAAATAATTTTTTTATTACCTTTGGAAATAATGAAGCCAACGAATCTCGAAAAAATCAGAACTTCGCCATTTTGATGTAAAATAAGTTAAGAATTTCAGTCGGTCAGTATAGGGGGGCAATAATGGAATAGCGTACTGGGACGGCATTTGTTAAATCCGCCACTTGTTTCCAGCATCAGTATTTTTGTGTAAAATCTACCACACTATTTATAAACATGTTTAACAATATTTTTTTAAATTTTTTTTTTGAGGGGGTTCGGAGAAGAACGATTTCGGCGTTTCGCCCTCTGTCTCTTGGTAAATTTTCTTATGTGTTTTCTTATGGTTGTCAGTAGAAATTTGAAATTTGACTGTTTTCGGCTATCTAGAGCTTATATTTTGTTTAGGGGGGTGTCAATTTAAAATTGTTTAAAGATATGATTATTTTTTCGACAAAGGATCCAAAATTATATGAAAGCGGAATGAGTTTTTAGCCTTGTGCTGTTGAAGTACTTTTTTCCAATGCTTTAAAAAAACTTTTTCTCTTTCTTGTTGCTGGGGGTATTCCATTTACCATTCAACCCCCGTGGTTGCTTACGTTAATTTGCAGTTACTTCTTAAGAAAGAGAATCTCGGTAATCAATTTTCTCAAACTATCGTGAGATTGAAGGTTAAAAGTATTGTGTAGGAAATTGATTGGGGGTCTGAGGTGGAGTATGGAATTACCTTCAGTAGAGGCGATCCTTGAGATCACTGCGACTTATAGTGAAAGGGTTTTGAAGTCTTTTCTAGGGAGGGTCTGTAGCCAGATTTCTTTTATGTTCTTTTTGAAAAAATCCAAGGCTTTAAAGATTCAAATGGCAATTCCTTTTATTAGCATCGAAAACCTTTTGTAGCTTTTTGTTCGCGTCATTGTTGAAAATGAAAATCATTTCACAGCAGTCGAACAACCAACATTGCAACTGTTGCATATAGGTTTTAGTTACGTTTTTTTAAACGCTTCTTTTTGGGCATATAACATTTTGAAAACACTCGGTGGTAAACTCGAGTTAGAAAACGAAATTTTAAAAAATTTAAAACAAGTATACGGGGTCAGGTAAAGGAATTATCGCACCCAACCTCATTTTAAAAGGGTTCAATTAAAGAAAGGTTATAAAGAGGTTTTTAAAGAAATTTTTTTAAACCTTTTTATATTCAAAAAATTCTTTTTAATCTTTTTGAATCTTTTCAATTTTTTGAATCATTTGAACCTTATTTTTTAATATCATCCTTGGTGTGCTAGTTTTGAAAAGAGAATTTAATATGCTGGCTGTTTGGATTAAAATATATAGGGTGTTTCATTTAAAAAACGAAAACATTTTTAAGTGACCCCGTATACTTATTTTGAAAACGGTAGATTAATCAACAAAGAAATTATAAAATTTTATTTAAAAATGGAAAAAATGCACCGTTTGTCTCACCTCTAAAAAGCACTATGCGAGTCACTCTGTAATTGGGCGCAAGCCTGTTGAGGGCCCAGAACAAGAGGGGGATGATAAATAAAAAAAAATAAAAAATAAAAAGAAAAAACTGTAGGCTAGTTTGGTTTCAACATCGAGTTTATCTCAGAAAATTCATCGAGACTCCAATGTTAATTTTTTCCTATTACGTATCGTTTTCGAGTTACCCCATACAAACTACCAACTTTGGCCACCCTGTACAGAGAAAATAATTTATACACAATCGTGACTGTAGTCCAATTTTAATATTTGACATAATTCCGAAGGCACCTTTTTTTGTATATGATCATTTATGAGCATGCTGTTAAGCAATTT